AAAATCCTAAATGGGGTTACAAAGAATTGGACAAGACTGAAAAACAACTTGGTAACACCAGCTACATGCTAGGTGCTGTCTTAAGCACATTTATAAATATTACCTCATTTGATCCTTACCTGTGAGGTAAGTGCTATTATTATCCTTGTTTTATAGTTGAGAAAACTGAGGTAAACAGAGGTTAACGCTTGAGGTCACACAGCTAAGAATTATCTCAAGCCAGATTTGAAGTCAAGTCTTTCTAAACCTGGGTGCAATACTCTATCCACTGTGCTTCCTAGCTGCCTCCATCATACTGGAAACCCCAAATCACCGTCACGTTTAAATGAAATATGAAAGTATAACTTTAATGAAGGCTGTCCTACCAAACAATACTCAAATGAACTAAAGGCCAATGTCCCATTCTTCAGGATATGTTTTGTTGAAAATTTATACTTCAATCTAATCTTGCATACCAAAGGTTTTGTCTCACTGCTCTTTCCATTGTCTTATCTTCCTAAGCCTGCTTGCATTATGATTTAGAATTACATGTTTAGTTGTCCCTCTATATTTTTCTTCTATCCTTATTTCTTTCTGTTCTGACACTTTGATCTCTTATAGAAATATTATCTTAGATATGTTCATGGACCACCATGAAAAATATTTTTCTTTCTTTTATATCACTTCTACAATAATGGTTCTTCACTGCTTTCATGAAAGTTGAGAATATCAAAGATATACAATGCTTTTCATCAAAATTCTCCTCCATTTCTTTCCCCTGAAAACTATTTCAAGAAAACATTATAACCAACATATTGGAAAGTCTTCATTCTGTTCTTCCCCTTTCAGGAAGTTTCTTTTATTCATGACATAATCAGGGCACATACCTAAAGGAAGATTTCCCTTTTATCTTGGCAGTTATGATGTACCCAGTAAGGACAAAAGTCAAATGCCTCCTGGATAGCATAACAAGAAAGGGAAACTCACCTTGTTTTTTTCAACTCTAAAATCCCAATGGTCAGGGAAGCTTCTAGAAGACTTAAGAAATAAAACTTGTTTTTCCCTTGAAGGGATCATCTCATCACAATATACATCACATCCTCAACTTTCTTCCTTTTCTTTTTCCACAAGTTAAATGAATTTTATAGGTAATTGTCTAAGGGGTCTGATGGCTAAATTCTACCATCTGCTCTTGATAAATTGAGTGAGCAAACACCTCCTGTTTGGTCAATGGAGATTCATTATAATGCTAATGCTTTGGATTGGCTCTTTCTTTTCCTGAGACTAGACTTTATTACAGGTTAACATTTGCCTTGAATGAAAGGAGAGATTGTCTCCAAATGACATACTAGGATTGTGTAGTTACAGTTTTACCATAATTTGTCATCTTTCTTGACCAGATTTGCTAAGATTGTAAAAAATTATGATAATCTCTAATACAATTTCACTTCAGCCCCTGTGCATAAAATGCTTTCTAGTGTTGTTAGGTATCATATAACATAGTAGAAAGCAGTTTAGTGCAGATGCTGAAATATTCACAATCAGAGAAGACAAAGAAAAAGACGGAATCAAGTAAACACAAACATACATTTCTGATAGAAGTTGGAAGATAACCAACAAAACTGATAGGGAAACACCCCATCATACTCTTTCATCCACACATTTCAGGAGCATTTTGGAAAAATAACAACAACAATGACAACCTATTTTAAAATTTCCAAGTCAAATTCTACTAGAAATTGGTGCCCCAAATATCATACCATCTCTTTAGTTCCTGTGACATTTCTTATGCATATTACACACTCTTATCTTGGGAGCATAAGCAAAAACAGATTCTGCTGAATCTTAACACTTTCCAGAATATAAACTGGAAACATGGAATCTGCTTAGAAAAATGACAGGAATTGGAAAGAATGATGAAAACTTAAAATTACTGATGCTTTCCTAACAAAAAGTCATTCAAATTAAAATTTTGCTTTTGATCAAGTAATGTAAAAGAGTTCAAGCTACTGTCAGAAATTAATTATACATTAATATAAAAATAATCAGAAATTTGAATATTTTCTAACATTTGAGTATGTGCTTTTGACTGACAAAGTGCTAACTGTCATGATGGCAAGAATTTTAGGACATTTTCAGTATTTACTGGTTTTGATCTAGTGGAAATTGGAATTGATTATGCTAAATTCAAATACACTAGTGAATTCTGGTTTAATAGTATTTTTAAGTGCTCATTTTCTTTTCTATTCATTATTTTATGAAGATAAGTTTGATCTGAATTTACTTGAAGATTTTTTTCATCTCATAGTTACAAACAGAGATTCTTAACTTCTTTTTATGTCATGGGCTCCTTCTAAAAATAATATTTTTAAATACACAAAATAAATGCCTAAGATTTCAAAGGAAATCAGTTATATTGAAGTATAGTTATCAAAAACAAGTTCAATGATTCAAGGTTACAAACTCCTAGTTAGAATAATGCTATAAATCAATCAATTAGCAAGTACATATTAAATGTTCATTTATTCATTCAATCTGTCATTCCTTCATTCATTCATCAAGAGTCTACTACGTGCCTAGTGCTGTGCTTGGACTTACAGGATCCAAGAGATGTATAAATGACAGCTCTTATCCATGCTGTCCTATTAGATTGTGCGCTTCTCAAGGGCAGGGATTGCCTTTGGCTTTCTTTGTATTCCCAGCACTTTGCACAGATCCTAGCACAAAGCAGGTGTTTATCAATTGTTTATAGACTAATTGACTTTTAATACCTTAAGTTATCAAAGTAAACTTTGAGATTATTTAATAACCAATCTCCCTGAGTACTCCCAAGAAAACACACAAATCTGTTTCAACATTCCTAGGGTGACTCTGTATGCATAATATATTTAGTAGGCTATTTTTTCTTTGCATCTGAATTTTCTGATACAGGACAACAAGAAGATAAAGAGATGTTAAAAGGTCTGTCCTTAGAAAAAAGCACAATATCAAACCCTTAGATCAATAGGGTATATTTAAAGACAAGCAGTCTCTTCAGGTTCTGAGGAAATCGGTGATGGTGGACACCAATAAACCATGGCAGAAAGTCTGGGAGGCAGAGTGTAAAGAAGAAAGAGAAATATCATGGGAGACAAAAAAAGTGACTTATATACATCTGTGGAATTTTCTCATGTTTAAGAGACACCATGGCAAGTGAAACAGGTACTCAGCTTGAAGTTAGGAAGGCCTAGTTGCTCTGACACTTGCTAGGACCCTAGCAAGGTATTTAACCTCCATATGCTTTATCTAGGATTCATCTGCCAAATCATTTGGCATATCTGCAAAGGAGGAGGGAAATTTCAATAGGAAAATTCCTCACATTGATGAAATCACAGATTCTTCATATATTTACACATCTGTGAACTGGATTTTTTTCAGCTATCTCTCTCATTCTCATTTTCTCCTGGCTCTGATGGGTGAGCTTTTGCCTTATCTTTCTAGGGCTCAGGCCTCTAGGACACTTCCTGGCAGTCTCTTCCCTATGCCCCTGTACCTTTTCTGTCTTGCCCCTTTCAGCACTCCTTTATGTGTTGTCTACTCCCTGTTAGAATGCAAGCTCCTTGAGGGGACGGACTGACTGTCTTGCTTGCTTGTATTGCATTCTCAGCACTTAGCACACCACCTGGTTCATACATAGTAAGCAATAAATGTACACTCTCTCTCTCTCTCTCTCTCTCTCTCTCTCCCCTTTCCCATTTTCCACTGCTTTCTTTGGGAACCCTAATCAAATAAATACTTCATACTTCCTTTGCTATTGCAAAGGGCATGCCAGTCAACTCCTTAATGACTCCATTCACCATTCCTGTGACTTCCCAAACCAAAATACTGATCCCTTAGCCATGCTTTTTTTTTATATATATTTTCTCCTTCAGTAGAAAGTAAACTCTTCCAGGGCAGGGACTGTTCACTTCTGTTTTTGTTCTTCCAGAGTTTAGCACACAGTGCTTAGTACAAAATGTTTCATAAGCGCTTCATTCATTCATTTGAATATTTTTATTTCTTCTTGCCACCAGATCTATAATATCCATGGGGAAGAATCAGAATCAGGGGACTAGGACATGCTTTTATAACACTGAGTAACGCTTGCATTATTCCTTCTTCTGGGAGAAAAATCGGCCAAGTGAGTTTTTTCCCTCAGCATGTAGCACATATGCTAACGTGAAAGAACTAACCCAACTTAGAATCCCTTGGTAACTCAGTAGAAAGAGTACTGACAGCTTAGAAACTGCAGACCTTCTGGTTAAAGATTAACAGTATGACTTTGTCAACAACATGATGAAGTAAACGCAAACCACTATGGAGGAGCTGAAACTGGAACTCTATCTATAGAAATAGTGCACGGCTAGTCTTTTGTTATCTATATAGTCAGCCTGTATTTACAGAGTTGAGGCCAAGTCAATTAAAGAGAGAACCTGGAGAACAACAATGTAATGCTAGAGGGTACAAGCAGCAAATTCATTGTTAGGGTGGGAAAGAGCTGGAGAAAAGGGAGGGAGGTAAAAACAGTAATGATTAGGACTGGCCAAGTGAATAAGAGATAAGGAGCTAAAATAATAGCACTACCAACAAAAACCAACTCAAATTGATATTAGGCATTTAATTCAGGTTTTCCACACAGCAGTGAAAATTATTCAGCCTTTTCCAACAGATTCAGCCAAGAAGAATCTCCTACAGGCAGCCAGCTTGCGTGAGTGATTCCAATGGGAAATTCAACACTTTTTTGTACAATAACAACAACAAGAGCAAAAATAACTTTTATACTCATCTTTATTTCCAGGCTAGTGATTCCAGGCAGGCTTCAGACTCTAAGGCTAAAAGAATCTTCAATCTATAATCATCTTTCTTTCTTTCTTTTTCCTCTTCCCTTCCCTTCCTTCTTCTTTTCTTTTCTACTTTCAAATTATGATACAGTGAAATATCACCCAAATTTCCCAAGAACTGTTTGGTTAAGATAAAGAATTACATATTAATTTAGTTCTTACCTGTCCACCTTTAGGTTGATATCTGATGTTGTCTGTGGATCCAATTTTGGACCTTACGTTCTTCAGGTCAGGCAGTGGTTGGTTAATAAGCCGTAGTTGTTTAGGGGTGGCTGGAGACTTTGGAGGAGTGCGTATAATGGCAACTTTTTTCTCAGTGGGCACCAGGATGCCAGATTTGGGAGTTCCCGGTGTGTGTGGGGTTCTAGGGTAACTAGGGGTACCAGGAGTACCTGGGGTACGGGAGGAATAGCTGGGCGGTGTACCAGGAGTGATGGCAGTGGAGCCTGGAGTAGTGGGAGTTGATGTACCACTTTTTCCTGTTCTGCGAATTGGCTCTGACCCTACAAGGAAGAAGCAACAGCAAACAGAATTTAGTTTTCCCAGGGGGATTTGTTCTTTTAGGTCAAGAGAGTTATTTTAGCAACTGGGTATGGTAGCACATGTCTATAATTCCAGCTACCAAGGAAACTGAAGCTGGTGGATTTTTTGAGCTTGGGAATACTGAGCTACAGTGGGCTAAGCTAATCCTAGTAAATGTTCAGTGTTCATAATAAGCACAGCACTAATGTGGGAAGTTCCTGAGAATGGGAGGCCAGGTTGTTTAAGGAATGGTGAACTGACCCAGGTAAGAAATGGAGGAAATCAAAACTTCCATGACAATTGAGAGTGGGAGAGAAGGAGAGGAGAGAGGAGAGGAAATGAGAGGAGAGGAGTAGAGTGGAGAAAAGAAGAGATGAGGTGAGAGAAAAGAAGAGAGAAGAGAAGAGAAGTGAAGAGGACCTGGATTGAACCATGGCTCTGGTACTTGGTGACTTTAGGCAACTCTTCAAGGCCAACCCTGCTTCTGTTTAGTTAGGAATTAGAATGAAATGAGATACTTGTAGAACACCCAGCAGTTCAACAAAAGGGAAGTTTACTAACAGTGGAAGGGAAGGAATACTCAGCAAAGATACAGCACTGGTTCACCTAAACAGCTCCCTCATCTCCATAAGGAGATGCTTTTGGTAAGAAGGGTATGGGACATTCATCAAGTCTTACTGTGACTCCTTGTAAACTTGCCTTTTTATGTCTTAAATGATCCGGAAACCATATTAATGGTTGGAGTCCTAGGCCCCTTGATCAATCAGGCCTCAGCTCTGTCTTTTATAAAAATGCATGGCAGAAAACCATGGCAGACACTACTCTTACCACAGTAAGTTACCTGTAAAATGAAAGGTTTGGACTAGAAAAAACTCTAAAGTTTCTTATACTTTTAAGGCCATGATGGTATGATTCTTTAAAAATCTACCAGTTTGAGTAAAATATAAGGCCACAACCAACATTTAGGGGCTCTAAGAACAAAACAACTTCTGTTCTAAAAGTCTGGTTACTCACAGACTCAAAATTCATACTATATTTCATTTCCTAGGGTTTAAAAATATTCCATCTTACCATAATAGGATAAAGGATGTGAAAAAATAGGGCTTTTCTTCATTATACAGCTAGAGAAATTGAATATTATGGGAAATGATTTGCCTAAGACACCAGAGGAAATTCAAAGAGAAACAGCTGGGAGGGGATATCATCATCATTTTCACTCTCCAGAAATCCTTACAGGCATGAATAGTGCTTTCACTAACTATCTAAAGTAAATTTGCTGCTCTCTAGGTTTTTACTCTAAACATAACTCTAAGTTGCTACTTTCTAGCTTCCTTGCTCTGTACTTAAACATACAAATCTCATTTGAAATGAGCTGAATAACAGGTGCATGCAGCCTTGTTTTGTAGTAGCCCTTCCACCAGAGGACATTTTAAGAATTATTCTGTTTTCCCCCTTAATCTTTTCTTCTCCAGGTTCAGTATTCTAGGTGGATCCAGGGTTAGGAAGACCTGACCTTGGCTTCAGTCACTGGCTGTGTGATTGTGAGCAAGTTACTTAAACTCTGTCTGCCTTGGTTTCTTCATTTGCAAAATAGGGACAATAGTAACACCTACCTCCCAAGGTTGTGAGGCTCAATTAACATAGTATTTATATAGCTCTTTAAGGTTCGCAAAGTGCTTTGCAAATAAATATATATACTTTGTGAACCTTAAAGAGCTATATAAATACTAGCTATTATTGTTCCCAGTTTCTGTGAAGGAGTGCAAATTCAATTTTTTAAAAAGCTTTCCAAATATATTACATTTCAAAGCTATTTATATAGTTATACCTCAATAGACCTTTTAGATTTTTCAATAAATTAATTCAATCACTGGGTTGTTTAGAATATCGCATCACGTTATTTGTCTCCTTTCCAAAGGAGTTCTCTCAAATTATCCTCCTCCCACCCCTGCCCAAACTTGAAATTCTTGACTTTTGATTAGGTAAAGAAACTAAGAACCTTTTACAACCTTGTTTAAGACTACAAAGGTGGAGGGAAAGCCTTCCCCTTTTGGGAAATTCTGAATTGCTATAAATCTCCAGTCACAGCAATCGCCCAGGATGAATGTGGAGAAAGCCTAATTAAAAGCAGGCTATCTTCTCAGCTATGGGGCAGCTCCTACTGAAATGACTTTTAGCCTCAGGGAAAGCTAACTAATTCTATAATCATTGTGAACCTTGTGGAAAACTGCCTTATGCTTCAAGACAGTTAAAAATCTGAGACAAAACCATGAGCACCATATTTACAGATGATGGAATACTGAAATCTCAAAGTCTTTCTTAACCATTTTTTTGGTACTCAACTCAGTTTCTTTGGTACTCAACTCATCACAGCTTTTGCAGTCATAATTAAGGCTTTGTCTGTGAAAGCATAAATCCATTACCTCCACAGGGTACATACTCTGAGGTTACAAAGGCTAAATTCGCATTCTTCGGATTGTAAAAAAATCTAACCACACACTTTTACAGACAGAGTTGTTGACAAACTCTCCATGGCAATGTGTTTGCTTTCTCTCTGGCTAGATCTCCCGTGAAATAATTCCCTCCTCTCCTTTTCAAATAGCTTTACAAAGTGTCAGCTATTTCTTGTCTGCAATGAGAGAGAGGATAATATAAAAAAATAGGCAAAATGCTGCATGGTCTGTTATTGTGCCTACTAGGTATTGCTATTTTCTGACAAAGTATATCATTTTCCTTCAGATTACGGAATCATAGGTTTCAAGTTGGAAGGGACTTTAGATGTCCAGACATGCAGTAGTTTTCACTAGTAGTGTCAAAATGCTGCAATACTGAGAACCTGAATAAGGATAAATTTCATAGGAAAATTGAGATAGAAAAAGCAAATGATATAAAAGATCATATTTTAACTAGTTCAGAATGAATTAGTTTAAAGGTATGAGATCATGGAGTCACTACAAACTTGGTTCTATTACCTGTTACTGTTTGGGTAGGCGCCTGTAAACATAATTATTAACATATTTTTGAAACCTTTCATGGATTGATTCCAGTTTTCTCAAAGACTGCCTATCTCCTGGTCAGCTCTTCCTCAATTCTTCTATAAATAATTGAGGTAGATGGTTGTACAAAGAGGTGTTCAAACTTGAAAATCCCACCCTGGACTGAGGAATCAAAGTATATTAGATATCAGAACGTACTATGCTATTCATTTTTCAAGGGGGTCTGAATTATCATTTTGAAGATTTATAATCTTTAGGAGATATAACAGAGTAATATCCTAATGCTACTTTGATGCAATAAATGTTGATAAGAATTATAACTATGTCTGAACAACAGACAATTCTAGAAAATAATCTGACTTACTGGATATTGTTAGAGACAGTATGGTTGAAGGAAAGATTACTGAACTGACATTTGAGAGATTTGATTTCTAGGTCATCCATTAGTCAGCTATGTAACCTCCATCACTTACTCTTTCTGATCATCAGTTTTAAATGAGAGGTTTAGACTGGATCAACTCTACTGTCCCATCGACTCTGAAGATCTGTGCCTCACTTTCCTATTGTTCAGGGCTACTTAACTGAGTCAAGTTAGAAAACTGTGTAGTTAGTATTTTAATAGCAATATGCATATGCTTCTATAGCAAATTTTTAGAAGATATTCAGGTTTCTATAGTAGATTCCTAAGAGATGGTAATTATGTTACAAGAGGAATGAACTAAACAGCTACCTTGAGGCTGATTCTGGATGCCAAATGATCAAATCTGCCACCTAGAACTAACTTCATTCTTTTTTATTGCTCGTGTTATGCAGAACATACACACATATACTATTATGTTGTATTAGTTACATATATGTGTATGTGCATATGTATGCATGTATTTATTCTATTTCAGTTAGTCTTTAGGTAGTAACTACCACTCATAGGGGCAGCTTGATGGCTCGGTGGATAGAGAACTGGGCCTAGAGTCAGAAAGACCCAAGGTGAAATGTGGCTTCAGACACTTACTAATTGTACAACCCTGGGCAAGTCACTTAACCTCTGTTTGCCTGAAGCCACTGGAGAAAAAAATGGCAAAGCACTCCAGTATCTTTGCCAAGAAAATCTGAAGGACAGTAAGGGTCATGAAAAGTCATGCATAAATGAATGACTAAACAACAGTAACTACTATGTACAAGGAATTGCTCCTTTGGCTTTTACAACATCAGAAATCAAGAGCTGGAAGGGACCTCAGTAGTAGTATTCAAACCTCCCCCTTCATTTCACAGACACAGAAATTATGTCCCAGAGAGGTTAAGTAATTTCTCTAAAGTCCCATAGTTAATTCATGTTAAAGGTAGGATTTGAATCCAGGTTCTCTGGATCCAAAGCCAATGTTCTCACTGCTGTATTCCACTGCCTGTCATGTATACAGACTTCCAGATATTAATTCTTTAAAAATGGGTTATAGCATTGTTAAGCCCATTGTACCCCCTCCAAAATGTGCTTGATTTAACAAATATTTTCTAGAAACATTTTCTCTGGGCAACCTCCCTTTGAAACATGTCATTTCTCTGAAGATAACAGTAGGTTTTCACAGACTGAGATGACACGAATTATGTACAAATAAAGATACAATAAAAGATATTGGTTATAGTCAATGATAAATGACAATAACTTTAGAGTTGGAAGGAACCCAAGATAGCCCTTCATTCAATCTGCTGATTTTACAAATGAGGGAACTGAGACCCAGAGAAATTCAATGTTTTCCCCAAGGGTTTCACAGCCAGTATCAGAGTCCAGATTTAAACTCATACTTCTAATTCCAATTCCAGGACTCTTACACCTGCACTATACTGTCTCTACCATAAATTCCAGAAGTTTTAGAGTTAGAAATGGCCAAAGTAATTATCTACTCCAACCCCATGATTGTCCATGAAGAAACTGCTACAGACAATTAGCTCATCTAATTAACTGTAATTTCAGGATTAGAACCTAGGTCTCTCTACTCTTAATCAGTGTTCTGTCCGAGCCAGAAGTTTTAATATATAGGGCATCCCAAAAGTCTTGGGTTAATTTTAAGCAGAATTTAAGACTTTTGGAACACCCTGTATTTATGTCCTTTATGAAGGCCAACATTGTTACAATAAATGAGCCACTATTATAATAAGCTCCAACTAAAGGAATGCAAGCAATTTGATGCCCACACATACAATGTTCTTTATAACTTCAATTAGAGACCAAAATATCTGAATTTCAAACAATCATGTTATAATCCTGTCATCAGATTTTTGGTAAGGTTATGCATATTTTAAATGAAATTTTCCTACTACTGAGGCAGCTAGATGGCATAATGGATAGAATACTGGACTTGGAGCTAGAGAGGCCTGAATTTGGATCATGCCCGACATGTAGTAGGTGTATGCGCCTGGGCAGGTTACTGAAGCTCTCTAAGCCTCAGTTTCCCCATCTATGGGATAATGATAGCATCCAATTTTCAGAGTTATTGTAAAGATACATTGAGATAATATGTAAAGTGCTTTGCAAATCTTCAAATGCTATATAATTAGCTATTATTATTATTGTTTTCCGAATTTATTCCTTCTTTTGAATTTGCACTCTTGTATGAAAATATTAAACCACAGATGGTATATTCTTTTGTGAGGAAAAAAAAATTACCCCATTCACATCTACACAATGATACCATCAATACATTTTGAACCAAATGGATGTTTTGCGCTCAATGACAGTAAGCATCTACTTGAGGGGGAAAAATATCAGCAATCTGACTCCATTGAGCATTGAGATGGTACTTGGGTAGCAACATTTATTTGCTCAAATCACTGGAAACACTGAGATAGAAGCAGCTTCAACTCTTTTTTCAAATTTTTAAAAGACAAATTCATTTAAAGACACAAAGAGCATCTCCCTAAAGCAAAAACAAAACAAAACAAAAATAGACCACAAGAACCTATAAGTTCCTCTACTTGCAGGGGGAAAAAAAGTTAAGTAATGCTTGAGGGAAAAGAGCTTGCTCAGTAACCAGTAAAAAACCAATTAAACACCATGCATTAGAGCGAAGTCAAACCCAATTCTTCTTGAATAGATTTGCCCATCCTAAATAACCATGTTGGATGATCAACATTTTTTAAAAATAAAAATTACTTGAATTGGTTGTGATTAGGACTATTATTTTGATCAGTAGCTAAAAAAGGAGGTTGATTTAGTTGTTTAGATAAACAAATAATTCCACAGCCAAAAAAAAAATCTACAGCATTTGTAAGTTTATTTAGTGCTTGAACAGATATATTCCAAGTTTATTAATTTCAACATACCAGGTGATGAAAAGCACTACTCTGGTCATTATATCAATAGTAACAATACTAGCCTTTTCATTTATATTCTACTTCTTGTTCCTTATTAAATATTCTGAATTTTGTGGATTTTGAATGAATTACTCTTGAGCAGCATGTGTTAAGAACAATAATTTGGAAATTGGCAGGCTTACTATACAATTCTTCCAGAAACTTGGTTTTATTCTATACACAACTCTGTGAAAGGAGCTGACTTAGACATGCAAGATAAAACTTACTATTGTTAGTTGTAGGGTTTTGGTCATTATTTGGGAAATAGGGCAATCTTGACCAGATATGCTTCTATATATTTTTGGTTCTTGAAAGGACTGTTGAATCATTAAAGTATGCCATGGCAAATGTAGAAATGATCAAAGTTAGTGATATTTTAAAGGAAAATATGCCACTGTACCATTGTAGAAATATCAGTGGCAGCTAAATTATATTACCTCTTCCTTTTATGATATGAACAGATATTCTCTACTCTAAAGAGTCCCAAATATATTATTGCCCTTTGCTCAGGGCTAAGAAGATGGGGAGTTTCATTTTATGAATGAGAAATATAACTTTCAGAATAGTTAGGGGGACTGCCCATAGTCACAAAGTAAATCTATTACACCCTGCTTAGAAATCTTGTTAAAGGGGGCAGCTAGGTGGCGCAGTGCTTAGAGCTCCAGCCCTGGATTCAGGAGGACCTCAGCTCAAATCCGACCTCAGACACATAACATTTACTAGCTGTGTGACCCTGGGCAACTCACTTAACTCCATTGCCTAGCCAAAAACAAACAAACAAAAAAGAAATCTTGTTAAAGAGTATCCAGTTCTAATTAAGGTTCTTCGTAAACAATTTTGAAAGAGTAAGTAATAAGTTTATTATATATCCACCAGAGACATTCCCATTAAAATAAGAGAAAAACAGATATAAGCATACATACTAGTAGTTCGTCGTACTGAAGCAGACATAGAAGTGTTGAGGGAGAAGGAATTCTCGTCTCTGTCTCCTGATACACCTCTTCGAGTAGGAAGGATAGAGGAAGGCCTGGGCAGAGAAGAGCGCTTTTCAGGGCTCTTGCTTACACCATCCTAGTCAAAAAGAAAAATCGAAATCAGATGTACCATTGAAGGGATCTTACCATTCATTTATTCCTTAATCACTTATTGTGTCTACTTTAAAGAAAGCATTGTATTAGACTTTGGATATACAAAGATCAAAACAAAATGATTGATTCTCTCAGGGAGCTCATACTGCATTGGAGGGCAGTTGGTTAAAATGTACACAGGTAATTAAAGAAAATACAAGGTAATCTCTGGCACCAGAGATTGATGGCCCCAGCATCAATTAGGGTAGATTAGACTGGGCTTCTTATAGAAGTTGGCACTTGAGGGATACATCGTAGGTATGGAGGACAATTTTTGGTGCAGCCATCAGAATTAAGGGAAGTTTCTGCTCCTCCCCCTGCCCCCACTTTCTCAAGGCAGTAGATGTCATAATAGAAAGGTTAATTATTGATCTGATAATTTCATGAAACTTTTTTGTTTTCAAAAATAGTGAACTTTTACTATGACTGACCAACTTTGATACAACTCAGTTGTTTTTGTATATTGCATATAATTTTCTAGCAATTAGACTAGCACATGTATTAGGTTTGCATTTTTTCATTGCCTATGTCATACTGAAACAAAGTTTTCCTTCCTCTCCTCCCTACCCCCTTTATAACAAGGTAAGTATTGTGTTTTCAGATCCATCCAAATATCTCTACTTCTTAGCTTTGAACATCAGTGTTTTTCCAAGGGATTTGAAAAAAAGTATATTATTTAGGGCAAAAATTCTAAACATGGAAAATGCAATTAAAAGTTCAAATAACAAGTTTTCTGAAGTATATTCACTTATGAAGATTTAAGTAAATCAGAAAAAAATCATTGGGGAAAGAAGTAAGCAGTTTATTCTTGCATATATGACATCATTTTGAGAAATTGAGGCTGGAAAGAATTTTCAGGAAAAAAATTTATATACTTTGGTTCTTGGCTAGTTTTATAATGAAAATAGAAATTTGGAATGTGTTTTCTTTTAAATTAAAGTCTGTTCATGTTTCTGACTGTTTTGCAATTTTGGGAACCTTGTTTTCCTATATTTCCTGATTTCATGTCCTATAAGCTTGACTTAGATTACATATCAGATTCTGAATAAGGCAAGGTGAGCCTACTGAGGAAGGTCATACAAAAATTGAAAATTGTGAAAGGGAGCTGTTTTAATGGTATCAGAACAATCTGACCTGCCTCTCAGAGGAAACAATGATTTTGTCCTGACTGTTGGAGTCAGGAATCTTTGGCAAAGCAGAATTCTAGTCTTGGACAACAAGAAAAGGCATAAAATGAAGCATATAAAATCCATCACATAAAAATATAAAAAGCAAATATAACAGGAAAGAAATCTGATTCCAGGACATTTATTTCCATGTCTGGTAATAGGCATGGATGGTGCTATAGAATTGAGGATAACACGGTTTGTGTTCAAGTGAAGACAATGGATTTTCCTTGCATCTTGCTTAGGCTAGGCAACAACACTATGGATGCAAACACCAAAATGTCATAATGCTCATGCAAAAACCAATAACAGTATCAGATACCTGTGCCTTACTGGAGGGCATACTCAGAAGTAAAGTTTGGTGGTGAAAGGGAAGAAAGAGGTGGGGCAGTAGCTTGGTGAGGCAGAAGGGTTTAAAGCTAATATTAGATTTGGAAAAACCTAGGCATGTTTGTAAGCCAATAAGAAAGTGCCAAATGGAAAGAGAGATAATGATGATATATGAGAGAGGGGAAATGACAGAGCAGTGTCCTGGAGGAAAGGTGGGGGAAGGAAGGAGGCTATGTGCCAGATACTAAGCTTAGTACTTCACAAATGTTAATTCATTTGATCGTCACGACAAACCTGGGAGGTAGGTGCTGTTATTATCCCCATTTTACAGATGAGGAAACAGACAGAGGTGAATTGACTTGCTTAGGATCACACAGCTAGAAAGTGTCAGAACCTGCATTTGGATTCAGGTCTTCCTGACTCCAGATCTGGTCCTCTATCATCTAACTGTGGTTAAAAGCATAATTGTCAGCCTTGGAAATAAGTAAGTCCATTTCTTTCTCCTATATATTCGTGGAAAGAGAAGAGAATGAAGGTGATGAAAAGGAGAAGTTTTGAGGTATGTAGATAGGGGAAGTCAAGAGGATTCTGTTTCCATATCCTGAATAAAACAGACAGCATGAGAGTAGCATGGAGGATGAGCTGAGAGCATGAGGAGAGAAAAAAAACACCACGTAAACCATTTGCTGTGGGAAATGGGATAGGGAAATGAATAAATAGTAGAATAAATGAGTTGCTAACAACAGTGAAGCCACAGTTACGTAGCATAAATTTATAGTGAATAAAATCTGCTTGATTTTGAGCCTGTTTCCAGTGATGCTTAACAGCTCAGAATCAAGAAGAAAATCAATAGCATTTACTTGGGATAGAAAACTCACATGATAGGAGCAAAAGAAAGACAAAGATATAATAAAATTTAGGGTGATGGCTAGGAAATGATTTAAGTGTCTGGCTATGGGGCAAAGAAGAAAGTAAGTTAGTGTGAGAAGACAGTGAAAAGGTGAGGGAGAGAGGATAAGAGGTGGTACTATTTCCAAGTACAAAAATTTAGAAGTAGCGAAGTTGTCAAGTGATACAGGGTTTCTGATGTGGCCATGAGGGTATCCAGATGTTTTATATTGGACATGGATATAGGTAGGTGTTTGAAGATTCCTGAACATGAATGCTGAAATCTCTGAGGATGCTGGAGGGGATGAGGTTTGTAAGGGAAGTTAGTAATAACAATGGTGATGATGATGATGATGATAATGATGATGATGGTAGCAGCAGCTGACATTTATATGGTGCTTTGCAGTACTTCTAAATAACTTACTAATTTGACCCTTACAACTACTCTGTGAGGTAGGTATTATACCATCTCCATTGCACAGATGAAGAAACTGAGGCTCAGAATGGTGAAATGCCTTGCTCATGGTCATACAGCTAACAGATATTAGAGAAAGAATTGCAATCTAACTTTTCCCAACTTAGGAGCCAGTATTCCTTTCATGCTGCATCACACCTTCCTAATTTTCAGTTTGTTCATATATTGATAATTACACTGGTCCTAATGACCTGTCTTACAGGATCATTGTGAGAATGGAAGGAGATAATTAATGTATGTAAAGTGCTTCACAGTTTTAAAGGATTGCATAAGTATGAGTAATTTTGCTAACGTGTTAATTACTTCAGAGGATAGTATCCCTAATATTCTAATTATATGCTTACAATGAGCCAATTCACTATATTAAGACACTATATAGGAGGCCATATGATAGAAATGTATGGATGGTCATTATATCTGGCATTCGAGGTAGTGCATCTATAGTCCATTGGGAACATTGGTCAAGTACAGGGCACACTGATGAGCTGTCTATAATTTCTAGGATTGCAGTCAGACTAAAAGAAACTGCATTTAAACCACAAGGCTAATATTAAAGGAGCCAGATTCCCTGGTAGTTTCTGTCTATATGTATGCATTGGATGTACAATTTCAGGGAGATACCTATAGCCAATAGGACATCTCTCTTGGGAGATTATTAGAAATATAAGAATTTGTGATAGAAATGATACTTTTCTCCACACACACACACACACACAAATGTTAGTTAAGACTTGACACTTCAGCAAAATCACGATTGGCACCGAGGTCTCATTTCTAGCTTTGCCCTCTGCTGATACTTCCATGAGCCAATGAGCACTCACAGATTGGACACTGTCTTTTCTCCTCCTACAGTACACGGAAGCATGTGTGGGAAGTGTAAGTGGGTCAGCACAAGTCACCCCACTCAGCTGTTCCCACACATAATCAAAAGTATGGTTTAGAAAAATACAGTAATGACATTGTCTTCAGAGCCAGAGGATGACTATCTCTGCCATAGAACTAGAAAATGTGAATAAGAAAGGATCTACGGGTCACAACCATTAACAATGATCTAGTGGAAATCAGTGGGGGTAAGGCTGGGAATTATGGGGTGAATCAGAGATAAAAATGGGATATTCAAAACAAATGTCATTGGTAACAAGATGTTCTCATGACATGAATTCAGCTTAACTTTCTACCTGGTGTTGCTGCCTTAGAGCTCAATCAGAAGATGGGAGAGCTGAGATACTTATCTTGGGGACAAAATGTAGTCATATAAAGTCTAATGTTTATCAGAGCATAAAGATGACATTATTAGCCACATTGTAAAGTATTATATCTGAATAAATCTCTATCTCATTCAACCATACCTTATTTTTATATGAAGATTTTTAATGTGAGAATAAATCAAATAAATGACATCTTTTGTCATTTGACTAAAAGATCCCAAGTAAAAAGATGTTATTAGTGTTAAAGGAAATTTTTTTTTAAAAACAACAACAACCACCAGAACATAAAGGAATAAAAGAAAATTCTAGGCTTGGAATCAGGAAGATGGGTTCAAAACCTGCCTGACACTAGCTGCATAACCTTGGGAAGCCACTTAATTCTGTGTATCTCAGGAATGTCCCTAGAAATCAGACAAAATATAAGTGCCTTGAAAGCAGGGATTATCTCGCTTTTTTTCCTCTTTTGGTCCCAGCCCTTGACATTGTTTCTGGCAGAGAGTAGCCATTTCGTAAATATTTGTTGCTTAAATGACTGATATCTCCTAAATCATTTCCTTGTAGATCTGTATGGGTGGAGAGAGTTTTCACACGGGAAGCTCCCCTAGGCTGATGTCACAACTCTTTTGTGAATTTCTGTATAGAGTCTTGCTTCAAAAAAAAATTCTGATAACTTTAAGGACTGAACAAAAAGTAGAAATCAATATATCCCAACTGATTGATTGGATTTTAATATCCCAAAAGCAGTTAAGATGGTTATGATTTGTGAATCTATTCTGAAATAACTAAGGAATCAGTGATTTGTCACATGGTTGTTTCAATCACAAGGCAACTTTTCCTTCTGCCCACAAAAGCTCTTGGCCTTGGCTATCCATTATAGGCACACTTGAGGTAGGGCCTTAGCATATCTTTTTTCAATGTTCCTAATAAGATTGAATAGGGAAATCTGGGTGCCCATTCCAAGCCACATGGATATAGCAGGTAACCAGATTATATCCGCCTTTCATGCTAGTTTGTCAGTCATACTTGTTCAGCTTAAGATCATATCTGAATAGCAGAAGTGAAAGGGAGAAATCATTCGGTTAAATTGGATCCTGGAGACAGGCAAACTAGATATTTTGTGCTTGAAACACTATCTTGGGACCTATCTGATTTAGAGCAGTTTTCTCTATAGGTCAGGTCCACCATTTCCAAACCTCTCCCTCACTCTAACATGCACAGCTAAACAGACTAACAGACATAGCCAAAGATGTTTATACATAGATTACTTAGCACTTATCTTTTCTAATGCTCTGAAGTAAGGCACAAATGGCATGATGAATCGCCATCAAATTATTTTATCAACTTAAGGATGCAACATTGTTTAAATGGTTTAAGATTGCATTTCAAAGGAAAGGCATGAATTCCTCATAATGCTACAAATAAATATGCAAACTCTCGCAAGGAATACACAAAGGAGAATCAGATCAGGAATAAAGAGGAAAGTATTTTACTTACTGAGTGTTTGTCCTTTGCTTGTTTATATATGCCAGAAGCCTGGTTACTTTCTCCACCTGCTGCTGTTGGACCAACAACAATAATAAGGAAAATGGTTAAAAGTCATAAGAATATTGAAATAATACCTCTAGTACAATTGGCTGTGTCCATAGAGAAGGGCGCAATGAAATTTTGTTTGTTAGGATTTACAAACCATATTTTGTAAGTATAGGAATGTGGATAAATGCATCACCAAGCCCCACATGAGCCGCTAAGTAGCGCAGTGGGTAGAACCCTGGGCCTAGAGTTAGGAAGACCTGAGCTCAAATCCAGCCTCAGACACTTACTAGTTGTGTGACCCTGGGCAAGACACTTAACTGCTATCTGCCTCAGTTTCCTCATCTGTAAAATAGGGATAATAATAGCACTTATGCCCCAGAATTGTTGGGGGATAAATTGAGATACATGTAAAGCAAATATGATCTCATTTTACCCTCACAACAAATTTGGGATGCTGCTAGTGTTTACTACTGCTGCTGTTACTACTACTACTACTACTACTACTACTACTACTACTACTACTACAACAAGTTGGTGAGCAGTCTCATATTCTTTGATTCAGTTTTATGTAGCTCAAATTTTCCTCCTTATTAAGGTTCCCTACTCTCTCAACCCTTTCTAATATCCCTCCTAGTTTTCCCATTCTGTGTCTTGGGAGTCAAAAATCCATCTTTTTTTTTTTTATTCCAAAGGCTTTCTATAACTATCAAATTTAAGTATAAGCATACAAATTTTAAATATAAGTTTGTACAACTGAAAGTAAGTTAAGTAAGTTACTGCCAATATCTCTCTGGTGTCTTCTTCACCATATATCCCAAGTGATCTCTGTGAATTCTAAATAAAGGGAAAGTTCAAAATTTATTCTTATATGGAATCATAGAGTGTTAGGAATGGAAGGAATTAAATACTGACTGGGTCACTTGGGCAAATCATGTATCCAATCCTTACTTTCTTCATCTCTAAAATGAAGGGCTTTCATTAGATAATCAGGGTCACATTAGGTAGTAGCAAAGACAGGATTAGAACACAGGTCTCCAGTGCTAGGTCCAGACTTCTTTAACATGCTTTGTTTAAATTTCTCATACCAGTCCCTGGCCTCCATCCTGAGACTTTTCCATGAATATTTGGGAACCCTAAATTCCTACACAACCCTAGATTTACGCACTGTGTTGCAGATGCTCATTTACTCCAAGGGTTTTGTTTTATTTTTTGTTTTATTGTGGTGGTAGCAAAGAAAAAAGTATAGCTTACATTTTTTTTTTTGAAAATGATAATCCACGCCATGAGGACTCATTAAAGATCCTCAGTTCTTATTCTGGATCTGCAAGGTTTTGCTGTGTCCTCAGAAATCTTTGTCATTTCCCATTAAATCTGTCAATGTTGGCTTACCCCAAGCCTTCCTCAGCCCTCAATTCCTAATATTTGTACGTATATGTATACACATAAAACATTTTGCCCGACTTGAAAATGTCCAAAAAGAAAAGGGGATAAAGGGTAGGGATAACTTAGAAAGGAGAGAAAAGGAGAGAAACATTTTTAAAGTTTATGATGTAAAGCAGGATGCATTCTAAACATGCACTCCCTGCATTGTTATGACCACATCTGTTACTGCTGTTTCTTTTTGCAGGTGCTGTGTGTCTCTGGTTTTTGAACTTCATCCTCTCTTATGCAATTTTACAACAGATTCTTTCTGTTGATAACTTACCTGATCCCACAACTTCACACGAATTAATCAATCAATTCCTTGTGACTTTGATAAAAATTCAAATAAAGTATTTCTTGACTCCCCCTCAAATAACATTAACATTAATAACAATAACAATGATGATCAAACAAACAGATTTAATGCTAGGGTCACAGTGGTGCAATTCAATAATTATGAGGTGATTTCCTTCAGGTCACAAAGTACTAAATTGCACACTCTATTCCCTGTGACTTTCGGGATATTAGTAACAATGGTAGTAGCATCTTACACGTTCACACTAGTAGATGGTGATACAGACATTGGAATAGATGTTTAGATGATGAAACAAACTTTCTTATTGTTATTCCCCCCACCTCCCTTCCAAGGATCTTACTTCTTTTATTTCCCTTCCCTCTTCCATAAAATAGGAAAGCCCAATTTAAAAAGAAAAAAAAATTCTATTCCTCTGACTCATCTGCTAACAGGATTGTTTCATAATTCGTGATTCTAATGTTGAATTGTTGATTAGACTCTTATAAGGGGCAAAAAAATTACCTTTCTACTTTTTATGTTTTGGTTCCACAGATCTTAAATCACTGAGACTTAGATAAATTTTGCTTTGAAAAGGGGTTTCCACGTTCTGTCTGTTGTTTTAGGCTAGGTTAGTGTTCAGTTATGTAGTGACAATCAAAAAAATAGTGGCCAGATCACCTGAACACTGTGCCCCTAGTATCCACAACATATTGAAAGAATCAGGGGAAGGCCTCTAGCTTCTTAGGTTGCTCCCCTTAGAAGGATTTAATAAAAGACGTGGCTAAGAAGAACACATGATAAGGAGAAGGTGTTGGGCTGAGGGATCATATCATCATCAGTGGATCATGAATCCATCCAAATGTTTAAAAAATGCTAATTTTGGTTGCTCCCAAATTATCTAATATACTTAACTTTAAAAATAAAATTTTAAAAAATTTAAATGGGCAGTTTTGCTTTTGCACCAATGACTTCAGTTTTCTACTGTTTCATAAAAGAAATGTTTCCCAAGTCTAGTTTCATGTTTTCCCATTGATGCCACGCAACTTTGACCCTTGAAATGTTGACTGTGTAACCATATGGGATAGAATAAAAACTCTTATGCCTAAGGAAGAGTTAAATCATAATCTTTCTCCCCACTAAATCTTAAATATTTCTTTTTAAACTATACATAATGTTTTACTAGGGAAACTAATGGTTTTTGTCCTTCCACTAGCAGTAAGAAAATGATCCTAAAACTGGGAATATAAATCAGTCCTATTTTTATAATTATTCGATTTTTGGTAAAAGGGAGAAATTTAGCCTCCTTCTGGCATGCCAATCCAAAGAGACTGACTTAACTCACTACTCTACACTACTACCTATTCTTTTTAAAACCCTGTGCTGTAATGTACAGAGAAGATGACAAGTGACAGATATTACTGCCTAATTGATCACATAAAACAAATATCAAACACAAGACAAAGGTAGTGTCTCATTTCCTTCTTGGGGGTGTTTTAAAACTTGGAGGTATGTGAGTATTAGGAGCAGTGACTATTTCTCAGCTCTAGACAGAACACACACACACACACACAACTCACTATGCAAACTTCCCTGCTTAGTTCTGATAAAATCATACAGTCCTTGCCAGGAGGGTATATGAAGTGGGATAAAACTGCAAGTTAGAAGTTTGTTTGCTACAAGTGCCCAGGCCAGGCCCAGGTGACTCAGTTTAGCCACCCATCTATCTAACTAGAAGAAATGTATCAAATTGGAAGGTGCTGAAAACCTCAAAAGGTAATTTAATGATGCATGATTCTTAATGACCCATTTAGTTCTTAATTCACCATACCCCTTAAAATGACAAAACCCCCAATTCTAAGCTTTACCATCAGGGGTCCATGTGTAATTATAAGCACTTATTCCCCAAATATGCCGTAGATACACATGGCCTGAAAGGAAGCATAGCTACTAATTCCTATAGGGAAAAAAGAAAACCTCATGAAATATTTTGTCCTTTAGATGATGTCAAAGAAATCTCACAAACAGATTCTAAGACTCATAGGTCACTACTTGAGCTATAATAAACCTTCAGAGAAAAGCCCTCTAAAGGTTTATAGAGGGGCATATGTGGTTTAGAATGAAAGGAAAAGGAATTCTTTTCTAATTGTTCTGTACATCTGTTATTTCATATAGTAGTCTATATGGCTGCCAGCTAAGAAAAGTTAACATGATAAAACACAGTACAAAATTAGAAACATAATACATCTATAGTTCGCCTACGATACACACAAATTATACTTTAGGATCCAGAGAGCTGCAAGGGTTCCCATCTATTGTTGCTGTATGATATTTCATCCCCTACCTTTCCAGACTTTATGATATAGATTATGGTAGTTCACATAATAAAGACAAATAAGGAGGCAGTAAAAATAGACAGGCTTCACAGGCTCAGAAAGCCATGGAAAACCAGTTTTAGCTTAGAGTTGTACGTGCTGACTACGCAGGTAAATTTCACTGGGTAAGCCCATCACATCTCTTTATCCTGATATCAAAGTGTCAGCACAGAAAACGCAGTGCTCTTGAATGGAAAGTCTTCCTAATTTTGGATTGTTGAGAAATAAAAATCTGCTGAGATTATAATATACTCCCATTTTCCTTCTATTTTCTTTCCCTCCAAAGCAACAGCATTTTGCAGATCACATAGTGCCACTTAAATTTACCATAATTTTTCTCTTTCATTTTCATTTAATAAACCCTCAGAATCTCTTGGTGGTTTTAATGAAATTCATCAACATCAGTAACAGATTTGGCAGTGCTGATGTAGAAAATGTGAAAAATACATATGGTTTTTTAGGCATGAAGAGAAAAAAAAATCAAAATAAATGGAGATGTATACCATGGTGAAAATTGTCACCATTTCCCCACCAGAACACACAGAATGGAAAGCAAGATCTGTACAACAGAAAACTAAAACACAATGCTAGGATACACTCACGCACTGATATGTCTGAGCATGACAAGCATATATGTGATAATGACTTCTGTCTGGGAGAAAACAAAACAAAACAATGATAAAACACGCTTCATAGCAATAGTATTTATGACATTGTAGGGTCTCAGAAGAAAAAAATAAGATGAAGAAACTGCTAAGCAATGGGATTAAAAAAAAAAGATAGGTGTCTATGTTTGCCAGCCACATTGCAGAATTGAACACAGTCACCTGTCGTTTTCCGCTTAACACAGGAGAGATGAGTTGGTCTAGTATATTTGATAGCAGGTTTTAAAATGATTTTCCTGGAGGGAGAGTGGGCCTGAACTTCTGTTTTTTTACCAAGTTCAGCCTTCTTATAAACTGCTATGGATAAGAAAACACAAAAGCACACAATCAGGAAAAAATGAACAAGTTCAATAAAACCGAATGAAATCTGATAAATTATTAAAGTTACTATTGTACTGGCCACAAAACAGTAACGGTGAAGTACTTGGCATACATAAAAAAAAATAATAATAAGGATTGTTAAATGAACCTTTTTTCCTTCTCACTTCATCTCTGGAGACTGTGCTAGGTTCCTTTTTAGCTATTTTTCTTTCAGGAGTGGAAATTCTGCCTCTCCCAGTTTTAAAGGGTTTTTCTTTTCTATGTTTATCGAGAGATGGTCTCCGAACTTCCTTCTCTGCTTTCTCTTCTTTAGGAACAGTCTCTAACTGCTCTGTCATGATGCTTCTATCATCATCTGTGGGATCAAAGGAAATTATAGTAACAAAAAAACAGCAACATCAGAAATTAGTAAGGGACGTCAAAGGTCCTTGGGGTTTAAAAAAATGAAATATAGGGATACTTTAAAATGTTATGGTATTTATAACTACTTTGGGCACTGGACATTTATTATTTTTGTCCATTAGGTTATTAAGTTTTGTTAGGTAGCAAGAAATTTAAAAAAAGGATAATGCACACCTTGAGTATCCACCCAGAGGCTGTCAGCATCCATGATGGAGTCATCAATAGTTGTCTCATCTTTGTAATCATCATATGTTTCTGTCTTGTATTCAGAAAAGCCAACTTCTTCCTTTTCTGGCGAAGCAGGGGCCTCAGGGGAGCCTTCTTTGGGTTCTCCAAGTGCTTCTGCAGATTCTTCTATTTGTGATTCTTCTTCTTCAGGGGGAGAGGACCTCCTTTCCAACTCTGGCTGTTCTAGGGCAGCAAAACGCACACTGTGGGAACCAGTTTCGCCTTCATCTGTGGTGGTTTGTACTACAGTGATGAAGTCATCCTCAATGGTCACCACTGACTCTATCACTCCCTTGTACTCAGGCATCTCGGCTGCACTCAACTCCACCAATTCCTCTTTGACAGCTGGAACGCTCAAGTCTGTTACCTGGAGGGTTTCTGAGCGGAAAAGCAGTTTATTGTATTCTCCCCGGGCTTCTATTTCTTCCTCTTCTTCCCTCTGAGCTTCCTCTGGTGCAGATACAGTCCTATGCAGCAATGGTTCGATGACTTCTGAGGGAGTGATGGAGATGTCTGGAGTCTCCTTAACTTCTTCTTTTGGCTCCTGAACTTGCTCCATCTGAGCATCGGTCCCCTCAGTCTGTACTTCATAACTCTTTAAATCAGTTTTTGCTGGTGGCTCTTCTGCTGGCAATTTGATTGTGATGTCTTCCTGTAGTACAGTTACTTCTGGGGTCACTTCTTTCTTGCCCTCGTCAGGTTTCAAGGACTCCATGGTCAGACTGTCAGGAGTGTGATCAGGTTCCCCGCTTGACTCATAGGATTCCTCTTTATCTACTGCTTCCTGGTGCACCAGGTCAGGCTTGGCCACTTTTTCTTTGACTTCTGTCTCAGAAACCTTGCTGCTCTCTTTCAGGTGGCTGGGCTCAGTACTGGGAAGTGTGTCTGCCTCAGGGGGTTTGGCTATGTGGGTCTTGCCCTGTTGAGCAGCCTGGGTATGAGGTTCTGTTTCTTTCTCAGTATCTCCCCCCAGTCCTGAAGCAGCCTGCCCGAAGTCACTGATCTTAGCATCAGGTTGACTCTGCTCAACTTTCTTGGCAGCAGCATCCAATCCATGGTCTACTTTTGGGGATGGTTCTGCTTCAGCCACCTCTGGCACTGAACTGAGACTCTTTTCTGCCTTTTCACTTATGAAAATAGAAGCATCTTTTGGTTTGATGGGCTCTTTTCCAAATACTTGTTCAAAGGTCATTCCTGTTCCAAATGCTTCAACTTTATCCACTCCCTCTGCTACTTTTTTCGGATGTTCTTTTTCTTCCAGAAGCAGCATTTCTTTGGATTCAATGTGTTCTTCACTCTTTTCTAGCACTGTATCCAATTTATCATTACTCTTCTTTTCATGATCAAACTCCTTACCAAGACCTGACTTATCACCAGAGATGGGCTGGGCTACCTCTCCCTCACTACTAAACTCTTCTTTGACTCTTCCAGCTGCTGCCAATTTCACTTCAATCAATGAGAGATCTGTGGCCAAATCTCTTCGGATCTTGTCATCAGAACCATCATAGAAGGAGCCACTTTCACCTGATAAATTCTCACTGTCCTGGACAGGTGATGGTAGAGGAACTGTATATTTATTGAAAACACAGTAACCTAGATCCTCAAGTTGACTGTCTCCTTTTGCGGCAACATGGTTTTCATCAGTTAGAGGACTCAAGCCGGTGCTGCTCTCTTCAAGCAGAGTCTCTGATGGTACTGATTTCCTTCTTGCCACCTCATCTGCACTCACAGAAGCTAGCCTGGACCTTGTGCCTGCTAGATCCAACATTTCAGGCAAGTCAGGGGCCATCACAGAGCCATTTTTATAATAATCTTTGGCCAAGAAAGGTGACTCACACAGTGATTCTACCTGGATATTTTCTGCTCTGGTCACTTTCTCCTCCTCCAATTGTTCTTCTTCCTCTTTGCTTTCTATTGGAAAACAAGGAGCCTTCTCTATGGCGGGAGTTGTGGCTGGAAGGTAATCGTCCCCTTCGTCCATGCTTCCACTAGTATTAGTTAGAATATCAGAAGCCAGTGGAGAGAGATCATGTCCACGGCCAAAGTTAAAGCCAAGTGCTATGGAATCCAGGCAGGACATGGGTAAATTGATTGACATGCTTCTTTGTTCTATGGCAGATCTACCACCAAGTCCTAAACTCCGGCTCAGTGTCAAATCATCTTTGTTTTTACTGTGGAGGTCTCTTTTTTCTCCGTAAACTTTTGGATCAATGGTGAACATCCTTTCTTGGGGAGAGCTAGGTTCTTCAGGCAGGTCAGCTGGATAGCTCTGTGCGAGGGTACTGTATCCCCCCTCTAGAATGGGAGTGGGTTGCTGCTCCTTTCCTGGATAAAACGCCTTTTCAGAACTTTTAGGTATAGGTGAAACTGCATCATAGGATTCATAGGCGCTTTCTTTTGTATCGCTCAGTTCATAGTAATCACTGCCAGACTGGATGCTCTTTGTGGTTTCTTCTTTCAACGTGGAGGTTTCAAAGTACTTTGACATTCCAGATTTGTCTTCATCGAGCTGCCGGTCGTAATCAAGAGAGGTTGCAACCCCTGCCTTGTGGGCCTCAGTATCTTTGTCATCAGCCTCCTCTTGAAACAGTTCCTTGGTTGCACTCTTTTCACTGAGGAGATCTAATTCTTCAGGAGCTTTGTCCAGCAGTTTTGAAGTTGTGGCTGCACCTGAGAGCACCTGTTCTAGGCCTTCAGGGAATGCGTCATGTCTTAAATCATCAATGGGAGTTTTTTGGTCTTCCTTTTCTTCTTTTTGGAATGTTTTCTCTGTCGAGACACTAATGATGCCCATCTCCTCATCTGGTGTCTTCTGGGGTTCACCTTCTTTTGGCATAGTTTTCTTTTCAAGAATAACATCTTTCTCATCTGGTTTTGGATGCAGTTCACTGTCAACCAAAGTAGATTTCTGTCCATTGAATGTACACGGTTCTTTTTTCTGCTCACTTTCTTGCTTGATTACATCTTTTTCTTCCCCAACATTGGAAATTTTCTTAATAGGACTTTCTTCTACAGTTGGTTTGTCAGCTTCCATGGATGGTGTAATTTCCATTGAAATTGTCGTTTCCTCTGCTTTTGGGGTTTTTTCCATAATGGTTTGTTCATCCTTTGGAATCTCTTTGGCAACCTGTGGGCCACTGGACTCTTCCTTGGGCTTTTTATCTTCTGGCTTCGGTGTCTCTGGTGCCACGGGAAGTGCTTCAGAAACAAGTTTGTCTTTAGTGGCATCTGAAGGTAAAGGAAAGCTCACAGTTCCAAAGGAAGTTGGCTTTGGAGAGTCTAATTTTTTCCCATCCCATGTGGGGATTTCTTGAACTTCATAGTTTTCTTTCATGGGTGTGAGAGGGCCGGGAGATAATTGACTATATGTACTCCATTCATCCTTTGGTACTTCAATGGACAAGTCTTTTTGCTCTTTCTGAAGTACAGTCTCTGTAGGAAAACCCACATCAACTTCTGCAGAGATTGGTTCACTTTTCTGCTGCATGTACTCTAGCTCTTCCCCGAAAGACTGTTCAAATGGGGTAAGAGGTGCCTTTGCATCTTCTTTGCCATGTATGTCCGTTTTATCTAGAGTCTCAGGTTGTGCTGGCTGGGCGACTAAGGTATCATGTTTAGGCAGTTCAGCAGGCTTACTTCCTTTCTCAGATTCCTTTTCCTTCTTGTCTAATGGTTCAACTGTGAGAGGGCCAGTGCCCTGTTGTTCATGGAACTCCATCTTCAAGGCTGTAAGTAAATCTGAAGTAATTGGGTTGCTTTTTAAACAAGGCATACACAGTGCATTTAGGCAAACAGCTTATAATAATCATTCTTTGACATGATTAATGGATGGAAAGGTAAAAAGAAAAAAAATGCATGGAAACATGCAGTCACATTATTTACTTAAAGATCAGTATGAAAATGGTAAGACTAAGATGCATGTTTACTATTGCTTGTGCAGGCTCTACCTATCGTTGTCTTTGTGAAACTTCTCACCCTTCAAGGCTGTGTGAGAAATATGCTTTAGATGAGTAAAATGTGCATTTACCTTTAGATGCACATTTTAAATTAAAAGAAAAAAATCTTTACTCTAGCAAGCCACAGAGGGCATGATGTAACTTTCAGGGCTGAATAGAGAAAGGTATTGATTTCCACCAATCTTTTGCACTAGTTTTCTCAATACCAAGTAAAATAACAGATTACAGTCAGAAGACTGATTACTTCCATAAAATATAGAGTTGTGATTAGGTTCAAGAATAAGGGGTTTCTAATAGATATCAAACTCATTTTCTTAAACTAAACAATATATCATTGATATGAATCTTCAAATACAATTGTATATTTCATATTTATAAGGAAATAACCAATATTGCTGTTAACCAATGATTTATAAGCTGTCTCAAGAAAAACAGACAAGAAATATGGGAATGATTTAATATGTCATCTGTTAAAAATCTTAACTCTTTTTATGATTCAACATCTGTTGAATATTTTAAAATACTTTGTATCACAGTCTCTCAATGAAGTTTTTTTTTTTCAAACAAGTAATAAAGATTGAAGAGCTGTGTGCTTAAACCAAGAACATTAAAATAAATGTCAATTCTAAAATATCTCTTTCCTTAGGTTTTGGACAACTCATATGATGGAATTCTGAAAACTGAGGAAACATTGCCTGTTAATAGCCTCAAAAATGTTAAATTTATTCTAATATTTTTCTTGTGGCTATGATAACTGGTGATAGCGTTTGTGGCCTTTTTTCCCCCCCAAGATTGGGTCTCCTTATCTCGCACAGGCTAGAAACATAGCAGTCACTCACAGGCCTGATTCTAAGATGGATCAGGCTAACCTGCTCTGTTTTTGTGACCTGGACCAATTCAGCCCTTTATTAGGCAGCCTAAGGAGCTGAGCTCTCAAGAGCTCACCAAATTGGTATGGGACTTAGCTTAGATACTGGATTGGCTTTACCTCTACTTGATTTCAGGTTACCTGAACTCAGGTGATCCACCACCCTCAACCTACCTGACAGTAGGGACTATAGGTGTACCACCATGCTTGGCTCCACTTGTGGCTTAAGGTCTATGTGACAGCTGGACCAAATGGAATTATTGGATGGTCCAAGGATTTTATTGCAGTTTAAACTTTGATAGCTATTAGCTAACAATAACTTAACTAATAACTATTAAAGCTTAAAACCACAGTAAGACTTTTGGGATACCCTATACTTCATAAAGTTTGGGGAAGAAGAATAAAACTCAAAGATCTCTCAAAAAGAAAGTGTTTTGGAACATCATTACCTTAAGTACTTGTGTATCCTGTTGTAACAATAGAAAAGAAATACTTTATGAACTTCTAATAAAGGTCAGGTGGATGAAAACTCAAGAAATTTGGAAATGACCAAAGGGGCGGGCTGCAATAAATGGAAAGGGTATGACATGAGAAGCATCAGCAGTAGCTCAAGGAAAACTAAACCAGAATGCACTAAAGCATAAAAATACAGCACACTGCACTGCAAACAAAAACACGTCTACGGTTTAAGCCTTTGGTATCATTGTCCATGTCAACAGATCTAGTTTTTGAAAAATAAAAAGCAGATGAATCTCTGCACCAAAAATTAATAAAATAAAATAAAATAAAAGTGTACACATATTAGCAATGTGACTGGCAAACATCTGAGATGGGGAAGGGAAAAGCACTCAGGTGACATTATCAGCTTAGCTGCAAAGCATATTGTATCATAGCAAAGAAAAATTAGGAATCTGGTGCGACAGCAGGAAACCATGCGGTCACTGGCACCAATGCAAATAAATACAAGCTATGTATTCTTTAAGCATAACAACAGAAGCACTATAAGAATGAGAAGAATAAGAGATGGAACAGCTTTGGGAAAGTGCCAAGTTGGTAAAGCTATAAAAAAGCCTATTCATAAGCAAACATGCAAATCCTAAAGAAGACACACCTTCCCCAGCAGAGAAAGGTGTTTTTATATGCAGAGACACTTCCTGGACCACTTTTATACTTTTCTCAAGTGGTTCCCCAGCAGAAACACTTTCTTCAGGAACTATTTTGGCTTTCGAACTAGAATCCACTTGGACCTCAGTGAGGCCCTTTGGTTGATCTGAGGACTTAGTGGGCCCACACTCTTTGCCCCATTCTCTTTCAGGAAGAGCAGCAGGTTTCGTTTCCTCAGCCATTGGACCCTCTACTGTTTCTTCTTCTTAGGAATGAAAAAGATGTTGACATCAGGACTACAGACAATACACAGCACAACATTCAACAGAGGCCTTCTACAGATAACACTTTCAGCTCCATCTCCATGATATAATGGCAACCTCAAGTAGACTTTCTGCTACTATTAGGATGAACAAATGAATCTTATGATGAAAGATATATTATTTACTGGTTGCTATATTATAGTGTACAATCATTTACTTAATGCATTTTGATCTCCTGAAATGCCATTTATTTTGAAAATTGAGAGCTGAAAGAGTTTTAGTACTCTATTTTCCCTTAGCAGAAATGGCTATAGGTTGAAAATATGTTGAATATTTGCTGGAAATAAGAGATGGTGCTACTTGTTAACAGATGATTGTGGAATGTAGCAGTAGTGATGTACTCAGAAAAGCATTGCAATTGTTAGTTCGGTGCTGTTTTTTCCAATGCAGGAAGTCTCTACAGAAGAATTGATCACAATTTTGGAGAGAGAGCCCTAACAAAATAAACTATTAGAAGACAATTTTCATGGAGGGAAAAAACAAAAAAGACATAAAGTGCCTTGATTGCTTTGCTGTAAAACCCACCAATACTTACTAGAATTTATTCAATATTTCTATGGTACAAGAAGCAGCAGAGGATAGTAAATGGGTAACTAGACTTGAAGCTTGGAATATCTGGGTTCAAAACCAGATTCTGACATACTGGCTGTATGACCCTATGCAAGGAATTTATCAATGCTCTAGACAATTCTCTATGACAATACATGACAGAGATGGTGCCAACCTATTCTGGTAGATAGAGGGAATCTCCTCATCTGAGAATTCCATATATTAATGAAATCACAGGTCTAATTCCCATCCCCCTATTTCTAGGGCAAAATGTTACACAGTTGTCCCCTTCACTCTGTATGATATATAGAAGAAAATAAAAAATTTAAACATTTTGGAAAATACAGTTAAATTCATATTATTTTGTAGAACTTGTTTCTTGTGTACAATTTCTATCACATTAATGGAACTCCTGACATAAATAATGCCACTCATATACTTCCTATTGAATAAAAAAAAAACAGGGAAAATGTGTGCACTTTTAAAATAAGCATTGGTTTTTAGGATTTTATATCAAAAGGACTAAGAAGGCAAAATAAAATGATGCCTCACATATCCTAGGAGGACCTTTTAAAAATCACCAGGTGATAGTACAGTCATTTAAATTTTAAAGAATAGTAACAAATGACTAAATCCAATAAAATGTTTTATCCATTTGTTTTTCCCATTTACATTTGAAATGTAAATGAGGAGAAATTAGTTGGAAAATATTCACATTAATGAAAAACTGTAATTATAGTTGAATTAAATCTCAATGGGAGAGTTATACTGTGGAGAGTAGAAATTGCTAGAGTGAAATGTGATTTTTTCACATTTTATTTCTGATACAAAAACTATTATTGATATAAGTGGATGTACATATTTATGAAGAGGTTTGGGGGTGCTAGGACCCTGAGAATGCCAAGGCAGAGTTGCCCAGAATGAATTCACACGCTTAAGGCTTCTCTTATTCAAGTGGCAAAAATGTTCATTATGACACCAATAGAAGTGGGCAAGAGTTCTTAGGGAACCTGTAAGGTAGTGAGGATGGTGCTGGGGCTTATATGGAAAAGGGACAAGGGAAAGAATCGCCAAGGATACTAATTAGGTAATCTAGGGACTTCAAGGGATATATCAGGGGTTCAGGTGTCTTTGGGAACAGGTGCCTATAATCTATGGATGGGAAAATGCAGGGACTCTGCAGAGATAACTTTGTTGATACCAGACATTAATGGAGAAAAGACAGGTTTTTTTCGGTTTGGTTGCCAGAGGCATGGACTTTGGGGATCTGATATGAGGGAGAGTCCTTGGGCCAGCCAGAAACAAAAATCCTGGGGCCAGTATCCCTATGTCTTTTCTGATAAGGTCATATATTCTGTAACAAGGGAAAATTTTTTCACAGGACAGGGGCCTACTGAAAAAACTGGGAAGCTTCCACAGACATGATTTTAGGGATGGGGCCCAAGTGTCCCATCATTTACTACATTAATATTTACTCAAATTGACATTTTTACTTTGGGAACTTATTTCTGTAAGTGATATTTTTGCCTTTCTGAGTCTACTTAACCAAGTTCATTTAAATTGCCCTTTCATGGTGGTATAAAGTAATTGATTTCTGTGATCAAGTTAAAAGAATTTTAGTGTTGCTGTCTTATGCTACCAGACTAGATTCAATGTGACATGCAATTAAAGTTTTTCAAAATCCATTTAGATTTCTTTGGTTGCCATTTTTCATTAATCATGCTTATTTGCTCTATCTTAATCATCCTTCATCCAAGTCACTTGTACTTTTCTTCCTTTTACTATTTTATCTTCTGGATACCATTAGAAGATTGATTTTTTTCCCCTATAAATACACATTCCTTTACTTTATCAAATTAGGGTTGGCAATATACTGGTGTATTTTAATTTCAAGAAAGATTGGCATATCTACTGTAGGATATCACCAGACTACAGGATACAGGATATTAGGTTATATGATTATAGGGCACTCAGCTATTATTCACAATAGTAGGATTGTCTACAACTGCATTTCTTAATATCATAGTCACACATACTTGTCTTTTCTATTTCCATTCCATTTCCATTCCATCTTCAAGTAATATCTTTTTTAAAGCTTAAGAAGAATAGTTGGCTTTCCTTCATGGTGTTGATTAAATTGTTACTATATAACTAATTGTGTGCCTCATCTCATTCCATCTCAACAAAACCAATTAAAATAAACAATAATAATCATAGATAACAAATATATAGCAATTTAAATTCTGTAGAACAATTGACATTGGCCCAAAAATACAAATTATTTATATGCAAAATATTTGATCCTCCCAGTAACTCTTTCAGGTAGTCATATTTTTATCCCCATTTTACAGCTGAGGGAACTTGCCCAGGGTAACACAATTGGTAGATGTCTAAGGCAGGATTTGAACTCATGACTTTTTGACTCTTGAATCCAATGCTTTAGCCACTATGCCACGTAGCTACCTCAACAAGGCCACTAAGTGATTTTCTTCCCTGTTTCTGAACATAGGTAAATGGTACTAGGAAAGAATTAAAGTCACATAATCAATTCTGCCCCAACAGATTACTGAAGTGACGATGCCCCAAATTATTCACTTATGCATCATGAACTTAGCACATAGTTAAAAGCAGAACCTGTTACTTTTAAATTATGTTCCAATGATGTTATGTGCCTGGGCAAAAGAATACAAGACACATACAGATCTTTGTTAGCTTATACAAGAAAAGAAATTTGTATACTCCCTGGTTTATCTATTAATAGGTGGTGGGAAGGATTTATCCCAGAATTAACCTCTCACCTTGTTCTTGGCAGGAAATCTTCCTTTTAAACACATTCATTATACCTCTAAGAAAGCAGTGGACCTGATGTGCATAAGGACTTCATTTCCATGTGGAAAAAACAGGCTGTCTCTGTTCCCTCCCCAACATGAAGGCACATGTAACATGATGAATATGGTCAAGGTTTCAGGGAGGGGAGGAGGAGCAAAAAGGGACCATGCTTGGTTCACCTTTGTCATGGCTCAACACGGCCTCTGCCATCTGCATGGTGACACTGGGGAGCATACTAGAGTCAGTCCACTCAGAGCTGAACAAGGGGTGCTCATGGTACTCCTCATCTGAATTGTAAGGGTCATCATCGGGCACAGACACTGAAATGGAGGGGGCTAGGAGCTTACGCCTGTTCCCGCTGGTGGCAGGCAGAGGTCCCACTTTATCCTCAGCCCCTTCATCTACAAACAGACACACGGAAGAAACTGCAGGGAGAACTAGACAAGACAGACAGACACAAGATAAGACGGGACAGGTTGGAGGCATGCACAGGGACAGAGAGATCCATGGAAGCCACAGGGTGGGATGAATGGATGAACATCAGCCAGGTCAGAGCCAATGAAGAATGGGAAGAGGTGAATGTTTGTTTCATGCTTCAATATCCAGTGAATTCAACTTATTCCTTTGGACAATTTTATTGCCATTGATTGATCTACATGAGTCACAGGCAGTGTGCAGCCTTAGCGCATTTCAGAAGTCTTCTATATCATTTCTTCAAATAAGCTCAAAGAACCATAGAAACATTGGAATGGAAACACAGCACTAGAAAAATTAATCCACCATTTCCTTAGGGAGAAACCAATTTTCAATCTTCTCATGTTTACAAATGTGTAAATTTCATCAGCTACAAAAAAGAAAGTTGTTAAAAATAGGTGACAAAGTAAGGGCAAAACTTTTTCTTATTTGGAGTACTATAAAATACTGAAATTAACTGGAATGCTCAGGGAATGAGGCATGCTGCTTATTTCAATTTTCTGACTAACAGAAGGTTAGCTAGAAATTCCTTTTAATAGGAAAGCTTGTTGAAAATTAAGTATTCAAAACTCATTCTAAGTATATCAGTCTTCATTCCTGCCTCAATAAAGTTGGGCTCAGAGAACATGATGACTTTTTTTTTTGATAACTGAGGTTTGTGTAGTGCCTTGAGGTCACCAGTTTGGACATTCATCCTCGCTGTATGTGACTGTTAGATGCAGACAGCAGAAGAGATGGGGTTGAATCTGCACTGGTACGTTGCAACTGGTATTTTTGAACATCTCTCTGATATAAGCTTGCTTTCTTGGGATTTGTTTCTTTCTCTTAAAAGTAGTATTCAAGGAAAAAAAACCATTTGGTAATTCTAGTTTGTTGGCTTCTGGTTAAAGCTTTACTATATATGCATATTATTTTTAGTTCCTTATAATACTGACATGACCTATGTTTTCTAGCTTCCATTGTCCTTACACTCCACTGCCTGTGTCCCACTGAATTTCTCTGGAAACATCTTTCATTCCTGTCCAAACAAGCTGGTATCTCACCCTTTTATAAGATTCAGCAAATAAGAGTACAATAAAATCAGCTTTCC